AAAAAAAAAAAAAAAAGCCTAGTTATTTTCATTCAATTCACTGTTTCTCAAATCCATGCCATCTTTGAACCCTTCTTTTTTCCCTATGCCCACTAATAATCTTGCAAAATTAGTTGTTCTTGGAAAATTTCCAGTTCTTGGAAAATCTTGGAAAATTCTTGTTTTAGAAATATCCAGTATTGTCTAGGAACTTCTCAGGTCTGCTCTAGGGGACCAACTTTAGAACTTTAGAAATGAATTGACTGTACAGCTTTGGAAGGTAGAGAAATCGCCAGATGGCATTTTTCTTGATACACTCACTGCTTTCAGGAGCCTTGGGTAACTAAGGGGTTATCTGTTGTATGCCCTGTGCATGGTGAGGTCTCTGTACCCAGAAGTGACCTGTTAGATTTCCTCTAAATGAAATATTAAATATTCCAACATAATCTTACTTTGAAGGGCACTGAAAATTACTGGTCACCTCTAAAAAAAAATAACAAAATAAACAGAAGTTTTTGTTTTAGCTACTCCGGATTACATAGACAATTTGTAGGCAATCTTTGATTTTCTCTCATTAACTTGAATATATATAAGTGCAGCCTATTGTTTGTTCTGGACGTTTTAGGATGGAAACCAAGAAATCAAATGATATGGTCAGTCGCTCATCACAAAGTCGTCCTAGGTTATAAGAAACACAAACACTGACACTTGTATCATAGTTAACGTAAATAGTGGTCTATTTTTACCCAGAACTATTGTTGAATTGTTGTCCCCAAACACATCACACACTAGCCAAGGTGTGTGTGTCCTTAGTTTTTGTGTTGGTATCTTGTTTATTTTCATTTTTAAAATCTTAGAAGCGCTGATTGCGGAGTTCCTAGACGCTTGGGCCCACGGTGGACCCAGGTGGTTTTGTCTTGCGTCTGTGAAGCCCCGGGATTAAGTGTGGCACTGGTGGATGCCACCTACTGGTTGAGAACAACCCAGTGATCCTTTTGGGGTTTTGTTTTTGTCTTCCAGAACTGCTATGATGGACGTTAAAGGGGAAAAAAAATTCACAGGCAAAGGTGCAAAGACGTCACAAGAAAAAAACAGATTTCATAAAAGCAATGGTAAGAGAACCATACCAAACCATGCTTCCCATAGATGGTGGCCCCTACAGTTGGAGAGAGGGGTTGGTGGGATGAGGAGCCTAGAGCAGAGTCTGTTTTCATGGGTTAGGATTAGGAAAAAGCAGGAGTTACTGTGTCCGAGTTTGTGTGTTCCCCACGAAACTGAGACATTTAAGAAATTGCCAGGATAATCAGAGAATGCTATTCTCACGGGAGACCCCCAGTCTTAGCTGGGAATGCCTTTTCTTTATTTATTAATTTGCTGCAACATTTTATGTTCATGTTCAGTAAATTGTGCCTGATGAATGCATACTGCTGGTGAACCAAATACTTTCATCCTCAGTGTTTCTAGTTGTGGAGTCTTTATTATTCCATCAGGTGTCACTGTTGCGGAGCAGAAAAGTCAGGGACTCTGTAAATGCCTAACTGATTCGAATCTAAGGCATCTTTGTTTTTTTTCTTGCAACAGTCTTAGGGCTTAGCTGTTGCAGTTTTCATCTCATTTGTTAGCTACTTCATTTGCAAGCTTAGTTAGCTAACAGTTTTTATCAAATAACTGTACTATAGGCTTTGAGGAAATTTTTCCAAAACTAGCAATTCTGAAAAATTAATGTCTTTAATTTGATATGATATTTAATAAAATAATAATGACATCCTTAAAATTTTTTAAAATAAATTAACATCTTTAATTTTAATTTGATAATGTGATTTAATATGGCATTTCTAAGTTTTAGGCATTCATTTTATTTTTAGATTCATTGTTACTGAATCATTGAAAATTATGTATGAAGACTTGAATGACAAGAAGTCATTAAAGTAGAATACAAGATAATACAAATAATATTTTATCTTATTAAGTAATGTTAACATGCTTAAAACAGAAACATACCTGACTGACAACAATGGTTATCCGTAGCATTACGGTTAGTTTTTATTATGCACTTCTCTAGTTTGTCGATTTTCTATAGTGAATCTGTATTATAATTTTATAAATCAGCAATTTATTTGAGAGAGAGAAAGAGAACGCCCACGTGCAGGCGATGGGGGAAGAAGGAGGGGGGAACAGAGGAAGAGGGAGAGAATCTTAAGCAGCCTCCACGCCCAGCATGGAGCTGGACCCGGGGCTCGATCTCATGACCCCAGGATCGTGACCCGAGCCATAATCACGAGTCAGACGCTCAACCAACTGAGCCACCGAGGTGCCCCTAAATCAGAAAGTTTTTAAATTTTGTTTTGATTTTTTAAAATCCCGTTCTCCATATATTGAGAGTAGGACAAAGTACGTTTCACTGAAGAGTGTGTAATTTTGTGTAACAAATACAGCCCAGTAGATAACAGAGATCTAGGCTCAGGATCACTGAACTCTGATAATTATTTACTATTGTCCCTAGATTCTGGTTCGTCGAAGACGTTTCCAAGGAAAGTTGGCAAGGAAGGTGGACCTAAAATCACATCTAAGAACTTTGAGAAATGTGCCACAAAACCTGGGAAAAAAGGTGTAAAGCAGTTCAAAAATAAGCAGCAAGGGGATAAAATACCAAAGAACAAATTCCAGCAGGCAAATAAATTCAACAGGAAGAGAAAATTCCAGGCGGACGGTAAAAGTGGTGGTAAGCACTGATTCCTTCAGCATAGTCTTTGCAGAAGCCTTGCTCCGCCTGAACTATGCAGGAGGGAGAGGGAGGCTCTAGAAGTCTGGTGGAGACCTCCCGTTCTTGCTCCTTGACAGGCAGCATTTGGGGTGGGAGGAGGGTAGCCCTGATCAAGTAAGCACCAGGAAGCACCTTGCCTGCTCAAAATTGTCTTCTGGTGCTTAGAGTACCTTACTACCTAGGCCCTTGCTGAATTATCCGAGCTGTGGAGTTCAGCTAAGCTGGAGCGGCTTCATATAGTAGAACCCCAATGAAACATCCCTTTCTGTAGGCCGAATTTTATTGATTGATTCAACAAACAAATATTTGAGTTTTCTGTGCACTTTGCCAGGAGATGGGAAAGAAAAATTATAACAACCAGTAGGGGCACGCGCCCCAACTCAGCTAGAGTTCTTGGCACTGCATTTTAAACACACATGGTTCCTACATTAAGACCCGTCGTGGTGTAGCTTTGGTTCCTTTTCTGTGGGAGCTAGGTTCCTGACATGTCAGAACGGAGCTCTGATTTTATTTTCTCAAATTTTTTATCAGCAGCTGAGGGGAATTGGATACTAGAGATCCCCAAAGTTGTTAGATACACTGCAGCCTAGCATGGCAGATGTCAGGGTGCCCGGAAGTTGGTGGGATTAAATGAGCTCTGGGTCAGCCTTTCTCTTCTGCTGTGCAGTGCATGAAGCCCTGATACAAACAGGAAATATGCCCTCTGCTTCCTGCAGTCTCTGATTACCACCGGGGAACAGATAAATAACGGGAATAGTTAAGTACATTGCAGTAAAGTGTATAGCCGTTAAGAATTACGTTCTTGAGAGATAATTTAGTTTTGTGGAAGAATACTTATAGTAGAATAATGTTTAAGCGAAGCAGTGAGATTCTGAATTTTTAAAGATTAATATAAAACATACATAGGGAAATGGCAGGAAGAAAATAAAACGTTACTAGTTATATGTGGGTTTTGAGATGATAGGGGAATTTTGTTTTTTTGCATTTTCCAAGACTTTTATAATGCGTGTATTTTCTAGTCTGAGAGGGGGAGACGTTTACAAGGCAGTAATTCTCCAAAGGGTTCCTTGCAGGACACTCAAATAATATCCATTTTATTAAGTTGTTCTTCGTTGGCGTCAATGGGTTTTTGGATTTATTTGGTGGGATACTTAGCTTTTGAAGACAAAAAAAAAATGCTAATAGAAAGATACTGGACTTACAGAACATGACTCTGTAGAAAGCTGAGAAATTTTGACTGGGCGCTGTCATGAGTAAGAGGCAGCAGAGCATGAAGTTTCAGAGTTGTCTCTGGGTTTCAGCCCTGGCTCCACCACTGAGGACTTGCGTCACCTTGGACAAGGAACAGAAGGAACTCCTTAGTGCCTGTGTCTCCCCGATGTGAGAAGGAGCATATTAATAGGGTTGTTGTGAGAATTAAATGATAGATAACAACACTCAGCATACTGAAAATTTTCATACATTTTTCCCTGTTTTAGATTGGACTAATTTTTGTTCACACTAAGAACTGATTTTGTTTACAGTAAGAACTGATTATACCTAAAGTCCAAGGACTGTAATGTTTTAGAGTAGAATTTTTATTTCACAATTGAAAAGGAAGCTTAACATTTTTCAGTTGCTTTTACAATCCTTTCGATGTTTTTTTCTTAATAGGGTGTCCTGTTAAGAGTCAATATGTAGCTGTTGAATGAATGAATGAGTGGTTGTTTTCAACCAAATTTAAAATGTATAAACTGCTCAGAAAATGAAATTAAGTCTCAGTTTATAGGGAATGATATTTTTACAGTGAATATTGATCCTGATCAGTGTTGCCCTGTGTCCCTAATTTGTACTGGTTTGTGACGTTCAGAATGTTAAATGTACTTTATTTCTACAATGACTAGAATAATTTCTCTAATGACTAGAATCAGCAGCCAAGAAACCTAAATGGGATGACTTCAAAAAGAAGAAAAAAGAACTAAAGCAAAGCAGGCAACTAAGTGACAAAGCCAACTACGACGTTGTTGTTCGGGCGAAGCAGATTTGGGAGATCTTACGAAGGTAATGCTACCTCGTGGCGTCACGTGATATTAGTCCTTTGAGAGGATGGAGGAGCACCCGTGTACCTCGTAAACAGTGAGCTGTCCTCCGCTAACCTGCACTGCCCTGGGGGTGTTCGGGGAACACTCAGCACGCCGCTAGACACGTCAGTATTGGACGTCTGCCCATGGCAGAAGTGTGCGGAATCATGAGGATGATGTCAGATGTGTTTGTGAAAATGTATGAGAATTAAAATGGAGTGGAAATCCTTCCTGACAGAGTTCTGAGAAAATGAAAGACAATTTCTTTTATCGGCTCGCTTTTGAGATACTTAAGTATTTGGTATCTCGGACATGTTTTATTATTTTCTTTACTTCCGAGATTCTGGCTGTGAAGATTTAAATTGATGCATAAAATTACACCTTGTGAGATGAGTTCTTGTCTTTGAGAAAATTACTTTTCTCCGGCTGCTCTGGAATAGTAATTTTAACGTCAGAGGTTTGCTGCCTCCGAAGAGAAAAATCACACCTAACTGGGTGAACGTACACTGGTAGGGTTTTTAGTTTCTCCTGTTTAAAATAATGTCTTTACTTAAGCTGTGTTTCCCCCTTTATTCTCATTTATAGAAAAGACTGTGACAAAGAAAAGAGAGTGAAATTAATGAGTGATTTGCAGAAGTTGATTCAAGGAAAAATTAAAACTGTAAGTAGGGCAGGCTCATAGTTGCATGTATTAACAGTTGAAATCAGCTCACTCTTAGGAAAGGCTAGGTGACCATTCGTGATCTGTGAAACTGTTTTAAATGTATTTGGCCACAAATTTCAAGTACCTTTTAGAATACTGACTAAATAAAAAAATTTAATAGTGGGACCCTTACTGCTGGGAAATTATTAAAATATCAAGTATTTGGCTGTGTCATTTTTTCCAAAATTAAAGTAAATCAGTGTTCTTTAAAGTTGCCTTGAGGAATTTATTAGTTCATTAGTATTTGTCAGAATGTCTTGCTCTGAACTCCGTATGCTTTCATATGTTCTAAATTGCTGACTTTTTGAATATATGTAAACAGATGATTACTTTCATTTCTTCATTGCTTTTACAAACATCGTACAGAGATCTTTATAGATTTGGGAGTTCTAAACTGATTTTCATTGTTGCTGCTTAATTGTATTTTATAATAAACCTCTGTTGACAACTTGTGTATTTGGATAAATACTTAGTGACTCTTCACTTGTAAGACAACAGACTTAGTATGTTTTGGGGACCCTAGAGGGGTAGTCTTTGCCAAAGCATACATAGGTCTAATCAGATGCTATTTTCCAGTTTGAAGGAATGTCTTGAAATAAGCAAGTTCCCAGCAACTGCTTTCTTCTTTATCTGGGAAGAAAGGTTTTTCTAGGCTAGAACTTTTCCTCAGCCCCAGCAGTAGTCTGTTATCCTTGATTTAGAAGTATTTTACACTCAACATCCTTTCCCAACTACCCTTAGGTTAATACTGCATGGCCTTGGGTGTGAATGTGGTGTTCAGATCCTCCCTCTGCTGCTTAAAATATGTGTGCCTTTGGAAAGTAACAACCTCTGTATCGATAACTGTGTGCTAGGGGTTATGCTAACCATTGCATACTTTGTCTCCTTTAACTTATTGTCTTCGTCCCTGATGGACATTTGAGACATCTGGGGCTCAGAACAATTAAGTTTTGTCCCCAGGGTCACAGGGATAGCATGTTCCTTAACTTCTCATAAACTTGCTTTTCTCATCTGCAAAATGGGCATAGCAATAGCACACTCTTAAGGTTGCTTTGAGGTCTAAATGAGGAAAATGTACTTGAAGCATCAATCCTGGTTATATAGTAAATAATCAGTATGCACAAAACAGCCTTCTTGTTAAAAAATTTATTTTTAGTTAAAATATCTCTACAAACCTCCCTTAAGAAAATTCTTCTGAAATGCATGACTTTGATGGAGGTCCACCTTCATCTTCTGACTTGTTGGAATTAAAATTTTTAGAGACAGGATGAGCAGCAAATAATAAGCACTATTAAAGTAGACTGGTAATGTAAAAAAATAATTTTGCTTGACTATTTGTGGTTATTGCTGTAGAAAATTGATCAGCAAGTCCTGTAACGAGGATCTGATTTATCCAGTAGTTGGGGGTAGGGGGTGGAATTTTGAAATACAGCAACTTTTCTAGGAATAAAACATATATATTCAGGGATTATAGTGAAAATGTGAGAAACAGAGGGATTAGCTTATAATTGCCAATGTGTATATAGAAACATTTACTCATGTAGCAAGGCTTTTAGATCTGTCTTCTTTCTATACCTTTGGTTGCCAAGGCCAAACATTCCTAGATTGCTTACGTAAGGAAAAAAAAAAATCAGAGTAATAAAATTTTTGAATTGGAAAATTTCCATTAGGGAAAGTAACTTCCAGTGAAATGAGAAATACAGTGTGTATAATCATTAGACAGGTTTGGTTTGATACGGTTTGTTTTTAATTATGATGATAGGAATCGTGCAAAATGGTTAAATCTATCCCTTTCTCTGTGTCGCAAAACCAAAGAATGCCATTTTGTACAATTAAAACATGTATTTCTTCTCCTGAGCAACCTAGGTTTGACTTTATCCATATAGACTCTACCTCTTTTCTAGCAAGGAGTTCTAAAAGCAGTAGCAATAAAACATTAATACTGTGATAGAAACATACATCGTCAAAGAGAATTAGTCTAAAGGCCCAAACTGGTCTTTCCTACAGATTGCATTTGCCCATGATTCCACTCGTGTGATCCAGTGTTACATTCAGTATGGTAATGAAGAGCAGCGAAAACAGGCTTTTGAAGAACTGCGAGGTATTTCTTATATGTGGAAGATTATTTATAATAAGTCACTGTTTTTTTCTTGAAATACCCAAAACTGCCCATGGTAATTCTTGTTGAGGGAAAGCTGTGTGTTCTCTGCAGGACCTTTTTTGGTTTTTTTTGTGTGGGACAAGTTAAGAGAGTTGTCTGTGTTCCCAGGATTGTGCATTTACGTAGTTCTTTGCTTCTGGAGGACTGAAATGAGGTTAGCAAATCATTGTAATGTATTTTGTTTTTCAGATGATTTGGTCCAATTAAGTAAAGCTAAATATTCCAGAAATATTGTGAAGAAATTCCTCATGTATGGGTGAGTTGTTTTATTTATAAAATGTATTGTCATTAGCTTTTTTTTTTTTTTTTAAAGATTTTATTTATTTGACAGAGAGAGACAGCGAGAGAGGGAACACAAGCAGGGGGAGTGGGAGAGGGAAAAGCAGGCTTCCCGCTGAGCAGGGAGCCCGATGCGGGGCTCGATTCCAGGACCCTGGGACCATGACCTGAGCCGAAGGCAGACGCTTAACGACTGAGCCACCCAGGCGCCCCTTGACATTAGCTTTTTAAAGGTTGGGATACCACTTGTGCCCGTGGTCTGGGATCATAATAATGGCCCTAGGCAGATGCTTGTGATGTTTCTTAAAAGCAATTATTGAGGCGATGTAAATGATGACCTTACCTTCACCACTTTCGTGAGTGTATTTTGATGCCCTGGAAGAAGAGATGACCAGTATTCAGAAGGTGGATGGCCGGGAGGGGGAAGGTGAGGGGAGTCAGCAGGGTCGGTAGGTTAGGCAATGTCAGGATAGGAGAATTTCCTAAATTAGCTGGAATTGCTACTTGTCCTGACTTTTTTTTTTTTTTTTAAGATTTTATTTATTTATTTATTTGAGAGAAAGAGAGAGAGACAGAGAAACAGCATGAGAGGGGAGAGGGTCAGAGGGAGAAGCAGGCTCCCCGCCAAGCCGGGAGCCCGATGCGGGACTCGATCCCGGGACTCCGGGATCATGACCTGAGCCAAAGGCAGTCGCTTAACCGACTGAGCCACCCAGGCGCCCCTGACTTCTTTTTTTGAGCGGAAGGTGCCAAACCGCGCTCACCGGCAGTAGAGAAGTTCGGTTGACAAAATTTCCGAGTATTTCTGGCTGTAATCGTCAGCTGCTTGATTAGGTTAAGATGTAACGTCAGCACTGGTCACTACGTGCTGTTTGAATGGAGAATCCTAGGTGTGTTGTATTCGTGTTTCCCGTGTCTTCGACTTTTACTTTCTCCTGCCAAAGAGCTTAATATGGGGAAGGGACGCGGGTCACAGCTCCCTGTGCCTCTGAGGTCACTCGGTCCTCTCCTCAGCCGCATCCTCTCTGTTCTGTGACCGAAGAAGCTGCATCACAAAGAATTCCAGTAACTTGCTCGGGATCTCTCAGCTGCTAGGCCGAGTCAGGTCTCAGACGTCAGTAGCAGGCTGGCTGCCGTGGAAGCTGGCAAGCTGGAGGTGGAAAGACCACTCATCTCGGCTGGCCTTCTCACAAGTGTTTCTTGGCCCACCGGTGGCCCCACATTTTGATGGGTGGGCTTCAGGGGAAGTTACGTTTTGTTGCCGCCCAGCTTTCTTCTCCTTGTCACTGATTTTTCCCACCGTCGCATTGGGTTTAGGAGTAAGCCACAGATTGCAGAGATAATGGGAAGTTTTAAAGGCCACGTGAGGAAGATGCTACGGCATGCAGAAGCGTCCGCCATCGTGGAGTACGCGTACAATGACAAAGCCATCCTGGAGCAGAGGAACATGCTGACGGAGGAGCTCTACGGGAACACATTTCAGCTTTACAAGGTGACATCCCAGGACATTCTGCGAGCATTTTTACTTTCTCTGTGTGCTGTTCCTGACCTTCTAGTGCCCTGTTCGCAGAAAATAGTTTTGCTTTGGCTGGCCCGTTAAGAGACTGTCTCCTACCCTTTATTCTCTTAGATTATTTTGTCTCTGGTGTGATGAGCAAGTGATCAGACTTTGATTTCTCTTACTCCCAGAGCGCTATCTCTAAAACCCCTTTAAATTAAACTACTACGTTGTTATACTCCCTTCTGAGTGCTCTGTGTAATGCTTCAGGACGTCCGTTTCTGATAGGCTGAGGTAGACCACTCTTAATAGTTAGTAAAGCTTTGTACCCGCCCCCTAACCAGCTCTGGCTGAAGTGCCTCGGGCTCCCCATTGCTACCTTCTGTGTGTCTCCATGGTGTGGACTATCCTTCTCTAGGTTGTATCCAGGGAGGAAAGGGAGTAGAGAGAACCAGTCTTGGATATAGTACAGGGATTGAATCAGAAAAAGGCCAGGAAGGGGACTAGGACAGTTAAAGAGGCGTAAACGCACACATCTGTCTTCAGGGATATGGGTTATTTCCTGGCTTGCTTCCCCTGGTCAGGTTCAGCTCCTGGGCTGAATTGAGTGCTTTATTGCTTTTGTAACTGTCACAGGAATATCCACCTAATTACAAAGCGCATGGTGGCAAGAATTTGTGAGCTGACTGCTTGATCTTACGATTAGGCATGCGCTAGCCCCTGTCGACTGGTTGAGTTGGGGTTGTTTGGGCTGGCTCTTTAAATACATTGGTGGGTATATAGAGTGAGAATCAGATAATCAGGTTACTCCATGAGTGTATCTACAGCAGGGCCTTCATTATATAAATATGGGAAATTTGAAATTTATATTAAGTTTACTTGAAATAATTATAATTGATTTCCTTTGCTCTGAAGTTGAAGAAACTTGATTAAATTTAGAGGGGTTTGATTTTTCTCATTGCAGTCAGCAGATCGCCCAACCCTGGACAAAGTATTAGAGGCTCAGCCAGAAAAGCTAGAGCTTATCATGGATGAAATGAAGCAGATTCTAACTCCAATGGCCCAAAAGTAAGAAAGCTGTTTTTGTCTTTTCTTAGCATTTGAAAGAAGAAAATGTTATATAACCCTTGCATAGAAAAGGTAGATAGTTTCCCAAATAGATCGTGTTATTTAAATTGGATCGTAAAGCTTAGACGCTCAGGCGTGTGGCCTTCTTAGCATTTGTACCACAGCGGAGTGGTTAAGACGTGGCCTTTGGGACCCAAGCTGCCCAGGTGTGAGTCCCGGTGCGCCCCTCGCTTCCTGTGTGACGTTGGGCAATGGAACCTCTCTCTGCCTCAGTTTCCATATCTGTAAGATTGGGATATAGTAGTACGTGTTCCGTGGAGGTTTATGAAGATTAAATGGGTTAATGTTTCCAAAACACTCAGAAACAGTGCTTTGCCCATAAAGGCAACCTGTGTCTGCTGGCTACTCAGGTACTCCGTGTCAGCCTGACGTTTTGGGTGCCTCGATCATCAGCCTCCACTGTACGTCTGCATTCCACAAGCACCACACCGGGAAGCTTGGATCACTTAGGGGTTGTTGCAGTTGCTGGTGCTGTTTCGTTCTGTTCATGTTTTAATTGTGCTAAAATCATTTTATGAGGCTAAGCATTGTGAAGGGTGCTTGACGGGAAGAAAATAAGCCATAAAAAAAAATCGGTGCACACACGGATTTCTAATCATGTGTCCATTGTTGAGTAAAAGCATAGATGTCCTTACTGAAGGTGGTAGAGTGTGTTTGGAATGATGACAAATCTTGGCTGACTAGATACTAAAAATTCGTATTCTGGTTTTGATTGTAGAGGCTACTAAAAGATTTTTGTAGTCTGAAAGTTTGTTTTTTTCCTTAATTCTTAGTATATTGCTGAAAGATGTATTCTGTCTTGTGACAGGTTACATTTGCTAAGACCATTTCACTTGCTCTGATTATTTTAGGACAACTGAGGCTGCCTCTGTCTCTCTTACTGTATGTAGTGCTAGATCTGACATAGTCTCTTTTCCCTTTCCTCTCTTTTCAGGGAGGCTGTGATTAAGCACTCATTGGTGCACAAAGTATTCTTGGACTTTTTCACCTATGCACCCCCAAAGCTAAGATCAGTAAGTTGTTGCTTTTGGTTTTTAAACCAAACATTAGAGGAAGAGCCATGTTAAAATGTAAAACGCTGCTTTGATGCACCTTGTCTTTTGGAAATTTTAAAGAGTTGTTTCCGTATTTATTTATTTGAGAGAGACAGAGGGAGGGAGGGGCAGAGGGAGGGAACCTTAAACCAGCTCCACGCCCAGCATGGAGCCCAGTGTGGGGCTCGATCTCACGACCCCGAAATCATGACCTGAGCCGAGATCGAGAGTCAGACACTTGGCCGACTGAGCCATCCTGGTGCCCTTGTTGCCTTGTTTAGAGAAGATAAGGCACTAAACGTCCTTTGAACAAGCCTACTAATTCCATTTAGGTATTTGCCAGAAGACAGTGGAATTGACCATAGTTTTATCAATCTTACTGGATTTTTATATTTTGATTACAAGCCAGAAACTATCCTCCAGCTGACCATACTGAAAATTAACTCACAAATAGATGTTCGGCATTCAGGTAGTTTGAAACTCACCTGTGCTGATAAAAAAAAAAAAAAAAAATCATGTCAACGTTAAAAGGTTAGGGGAGGACACTTATGTAAAACTAAATGGACCATGAAAACTGGACCTTACAGGCTAGCAAGATAAGGAGCAGAGAGTGAAGGTAATTTGTACTGCCCTTCAAGTCAGTGATGGGAATACAAATGAGAATTCATCATTTAGTCCCCTGAACTTGCTTGCCTCATCAAACTGAACTCATTGCCCATTTGTCCTCATTTCAATAGTAAGAGATAACTCATAATAATGACCCTAACTTCTTTTTAACAAATATGCCAGATTAAACATTCATAGGAATTTTGACCCTCTCAAAATTGACATAGAGAAAAGACTTTTCCAAGAGTAGCTGTTCACCTAAGCTTGTGGTCCAGTGAACACAGCAGCTGCTTTTGGGGATTTCTGTCTCTTTTCTGCAGAGCACAGTTTCTGACTGGTCTGGATATATTAAGGCAGGACTACATTTGGAGAAGTGAGAATATGAGCACTTGGATATAGTCAGTGATGGAAAATATTTTTTTAGTGTTGAATGTATTAATAACACAAAAATCATTGGGAACTTAGTGTGAATATACAGTAATGAGACAAATCTTTCTTGGCCCTGGGGGCATTTCACTCTCCAACTGGGTAGCTTTGAATAGATTTGTAAGTTTAGATATGTAAGCTGAGAGCTGTGTTTTTGAGACCCATCCTGGGAAAGGATTGAACAATAGTTAAGGACGAAATCGTTTGTTCCTTACTGATGAAAACAGGTACCCACCTTTCTTTTTTGTGGTCGGAGACTTTGTGTTTATTTTATTGATTGAATATAAAATTTTAAATCAGGAATGGACTAAAGTGGGGCCCTGCAGCTTTTAGCTGTCAGAACTCATTTACATCTATAGACTAGACCTCCCAGATATAATTAAGAAATTATGTACATTGACAGTGAAGAAGAAAGTTTATAAATAAGCTAAACTACCTTGTAAAAAATTACTGACTGGGTTTTTACTACAGGGGTCATTGAGAAATGAGGACCTAGTCTAACAGACTAATTTCTCTTAGGGAAATGTTATTTAAGTGTTTTTATGGTGAATTATTAAAATGATTTCTAAAAGTAATCCAGTGATGAGCTGAAAAAGGGAAACTTTTTCAGCCAAAATTAGTGTTTGGTTCTCTGCTCATTATATACACGATTCTCTTATGGAAGAAGATTTTATTTATTTTATCTGGTTTTACTGTTAAGAACTCCCTTCTTACCACAGCCACTTCCTAGATTTCTTTTTCTTGAAAAATCTTTTGGAATATACTACACATACATACACTTGTTTGAATAGATATTGGTGAGACTCAGGTATCTTAATAGAAATGGCTACCGCTACTTGCTGCTCTTGATGGGGAAAAAGCCGTTCAGACCGCAGTTGTTTCCGCAGGCTTCTCTACGAAATGAAAAATGCCGTTGTTTACTGCCTGTACGCTCTGTCGTGCTCTGGGCATCACTGCCCCTCAGTGGACAGGTTTCAAGAAGGCAGGAAGAAAGAGTAAGATAAAGCCCGGTGGTGTCTGTTCCGCAGGAGACGGTCGAGGCCATCCGCGACGCCGTGATCTACCTGGCGCACACGCGCGACGGCGCCAGGGTGGCCATGCACTGCCTGTGGCATGGCACCCCCAAGGTGAGCGGTCCCCTGGGGCCGAGGCGCCGCGCCTCGGACGTGCCCTCGCCTGCCCGCGGGCTTGGCCCTGGTGCGTGGGAACAGCGTTCCCCGTGCGGAGCTGCGCCTCCTCGGGGCCTCCCCGGAATTGGATTTTCGTAGGGCCTGGGGTTTCTTTGCTGGAGTTTTCATGAACGTACAAAAAGCTTGAGTTGTCTTTATTTGGGAGGGGGCCCGGTCGAGCAAGTAAATGCAATGTTAATGTCGGGCTTACATTTATAGAGGTTTGGGTGCCTGGCGGATTCTTTGATTCCTCATCTACTGATCTTCACGGGGGCGGGAGAGGCAAGGTGCTAATGATGAGCAGCTACACGTTTGCTCGTGTGGGCGTTCAGTACTTTGAGGGGAAAGGTAAAGATCCATGTTAAACACAGAAGTTTCACAGAGATGCTCCTCATTTCCTTGGTCGGGATAATGTTGCCTTTAAAAGAGTTGCACTCTGCCCACTTTTTAAATGAATACAAATGTAATTTCCGTTCAGCGAGTATCGAATACTGTCTCTGTTGCACTCTTAGGCATTTCAAGTCAGTTCAGACACTGGAAGAGTTCTCTCCATTCTCACTGTTTTAAAAGAAGGTAGTTTTGCCAGATTTGCTTTTCAGCTAATTTATGGTTCCGTATTTATGTCTCAGTGCATTGTCACAAACAGCTCTAAGGTTGTAATAGTTCTGAAGGGACTTAAAGCATATTGCCATTTCTTTTTTTTGTTCTGGCTCATAACTGTTTTCACTAGTGAAGAGTATGCCAGACTGGTGGGAATTTTAGTATTATATAAAATTTTTGACTCTATAATTATTAAGCTGTCACTAAAAGTTATAACAAAAGTTAGTTTTTCTTTTTAAAGGACAGGAAAGTGATTGTGAAAACAATGAAGACTTACATTGAAAAGGTGGCTAATGTAAGTATAATAAAACCACAATTTGTTATGTTTTTGTTTGATTTTGGCTTTTCTTTTAGGTTGTTTTTTGTTTTTTTTTTTAAGATTTTTATTTATTTATTTGACAGAGAGAAAGATGGCGAGAGCAGGAACACAAGCAGGGGGAGTGGGAGAGGGAGAAGCAGGCTTCCTGCCGAGCAGGGAGCCCGATGCGGGGCTTGATCCCAGGACCCTGGGATCATGACCTGAGCTGAAGGCAGACCCTTAACAACTGAGCCACCCAGGTGCCCTTCTTTTAGTTAATTTTAATAATAAAATGAAATCATGTCTATTATAGAAAACTTGAAAACTGCAGAAAATTGCCAAGAAGAAAATTGTTCATTGTTTTATTACTGTGTCTTTTACTACACATATGCCTGTATTTTAATGATATTAAATTTACACTGAATAAGATTTCTCCTTTTTTCATTTAACATCCTACTGTGACAGTTTTCCATTTCTAGTAGGTATTTTTTGAAGTCCTGATATTTACTTCTTCAGTGAATTTGTCCAATTATGTTATTAAACATAGAAATTACTGCCTAGAATAAATTTGTAAGTTTTATAGTTCTTTGGGATCCTTTGGAGATGCTGTAACAGCTCTCCAGATGAAATTATAGAGGATATGAAAAGATTTTTCTAAGGAATTAATTGCCTCAAAAAAATAGTATCTCTGTGTATTTAAATACTAAATAGTTTACGGGCGCCTGGGTGGCTCAGTTGGTTGGGCGACTGCCTTCGGCTCAGGTCATGATCCTGGAGTCCCGGGATCGAGTCCCGCATCGGGCTCCCTGCTCAGCAGGGGGTCTGCTTCTCCCTCTGCCCCCTTCCCTCTTGGGCCTTTGTCCCCTTTTTCCCCCCCTCCAAAAAAAAAAAAAAAAAAAAAATACTAAATAGTTTTCCAGGAGTGTATGTAGTAGTGAACGTTTTTTCATTCTTGAGTTACTTTATATGTTTAAGCTTCTAATTTACTGGGGAACTAAAATTGGTGATAACAACCATTTCCTACGAAAAATCCAATGAGAACTGCTAACATCTGGTGAATACTTGATTTAGTCAATGCTACTTCAAACACAGATAAGCTGGTGCTTTGTGACCATATACGTACCTGTCATCTTCTGTAGGGCTGGAGACTAGAGAGAGCTGTGTAAGGCCATGTGGAAGGCAGCTCACAGAATCTGTAACAAAATGAAAGAAGAGATTCTCTAGGGAGTTGTTTCCAGAGTATGACAAGATTTTATTATTCATTATTCACCATTAAGTAAATCTTCGGTATAACATTTTGAGTATTTTAAATTAGAAATGAATAAAAATAGAATGTGAATAGAAAATTCTGAAAAGTATTACTAGTAGAAGACATCATTAAATAATAAAATTAGATTGTTCTAATTTTACAGTTTAGTTGTATAAACAGGTTTTTTTTTTTTTGTCTTTGAGAACCTAATCGCAGCAAGGCATTATGATGGTAATGAGAAATTAACAGTGCAGTGCCTTTTGCATCTCAAGTTGTCTCTAAAGAGGGGAGATAAACTAATAATACCCATGGATATGATTTATGGTTATTTAGAAGTGTTTACATTTCCAAATATTGGGGATTCCTGACATACTCTATTTTTTCGATCCTTTTAAATTTTTAAAGACTAATTTTGTGGCACAACATATGGTCTATCGCAGTATCTTGAGAAGAACTTATTTTGTGGAATTGGTGGGTGTGGTACTCTGCAAATGTCAGTTAAGGTAGTTAATAGTGTTCATACCATCAGTGTTTTTACTGATGTATCTTAGGTAGTTCTATCAGTTGCTGAAAAGTGTATTAAAAGCTCCAACTGAAATTGTAGAATTGTCCTTTTCTCACTTAAATTCAGTTCCAGTTCTCCTGTGTTCATCCAGAGATATTTTGTGTTTGGGCATGTTTCTGCGTGTGGAACTTAAAAAAAATCAGAGACCAGTGGTTCTGTACTGTGTGCACATTGTTCTCTACTTCGTTTCCTTCACTCAGTCTGCCTCAGGGGTCAGTTTATTTCAATATACATACATTTTATCTACCTCATTCTTTTTAATGACTGGATAATGTTTTATTATATGAGTTACATAATTCACTTAAACCAGTCCCTACTGTTGGGCACTTGGGTAGTTTCTAGTTTTTTGTTATTTCAAATAGTACTCAAGAACTCCTTGTGCATTTGTGGAAGCACATCTGTAAGATTAAGCCCTAGAAATGGAATTGTTAGATCAGAAAACACATGCACTTTAAATTTTTATAAATGTCGTCAGTTGCTCTTCAAAGAAGTTGAGCCACTGTACATTCTCACCGACGACAAAGAAGTGTGCCTGCTTTTTCCCAGACTTTTGCCAAATTAGTATATTAGCAGGGGTTTTCACTTTTGCCTAGATGACAGGTGGAAAATGGTATTTCATTGCTTAAATTATTGTCCTTAATTAGTATTATTTCATATGCTTAAAGCCACTTGTCCCTTTTTTTCTGTGAACTGACTCTTCGTGTTCTTTGTCCATTTTTAGTAGAGCGTTGGTCTTTATATGATAAAGATGTTAGACCTTTGTTATTTTTCTCCAGTTTGTTTCTAACTGAAACATTATCACCTGCCATGTTCTTTAGACCTGGCTCTGAATGAGTGTTACCAGAAGTCAGATACCCTTCTCAAAGTAAAACATTGCTATCATTATCTAGGATACAAAAAGAATATGCCACAAGCTCTGAAAACAGAGCTTTTTTTTCCTTTTGTCATAAAAGTAGAAGTTCTTAAACTTCAGAACAATATCAGCACAGAAGTAATTCTGTTATTTCAAGAGATGACCATTGTGAAAGTCACAATGTATATATTTTTTTATTTTTTATTTTTTTTATCTATTTGAGAGAGAGAGAGAATGAGAGAGAGAGCATGAGATGGGGGAGGGTCAGAGGAAGAAGCAGACTCCCTGCCGAGCAGGGAGCCCGATGCGGGACTCGATCCCGGGACTTCAGGACCATGACCTGAGCCGAAGGCAGTCGCTTAACCAACTGAGTCACCCAGGCGCCCCCATAATGTATATTTTTTGATCTTGTGCTGCTATACTTTTTAAAAGCGGTTACTTTTACCTTATTCTCATAGTCAGTATCTAAGTATATTCTTCTGGTTTATTATTTCAATATCTCTATTCTGATTATATAGGATTATTTTGAAGAAATTAGTACACAAAAGAAAATGAAAAATCATTTATAATCCTTTAACCCAGAGGTGACTATCACATTACAGTGTTTTTCCTTCCATGATTTTCTTGGTACACATACTATATATATTTTGTACCATATATGTGATTCTGTCTGAGTTTATATGCTTTCTTTTTCATGATTATAAAGTTCTGTATATATACATATATATATATAGTTTTACATTCTTAGGGTTTTTTTTTTTTCACTTACGCTTAAATTTTTTAGGGTAATTTTCAAGTAGTTATTTATTAACAGGATACCTGTTTTTGAGAGGTGTTATATCCTGGTCAGTTAAAAAAAAATGAGCCTCGGCTATTTGATATTGAAGAATGTGCTTTTTTTCTCTGTTTTTTTTTAAATCAACTTAGAATATAATTAACTAGGCCCTGATAAGAGAGGAAGTTCCTTTGAATGGCTTTTATCTGTCTTTGTTTGTGTTCTGGTAGACAGTTGTCAGGTTGGTAACCTTTATAAAGTGCCTCCATGGGGGGAATAAAAGGGAGAAGCAGTATATTTTTCTAACCTTCCCTGGCTTCCATTTCTTACAGGGCCAGTACTCCCATTTGGTCTTACTGGCGGCATTTGATTGTATTGATGATACTAAGCTTGTGAAGCAGATAATCATATCAGTGAGTAATTCTTATGGTCTTGCATATACATTAAATTGATATATTGTTTGCAACTACGTCAGTTTGATTTTATACCGGTATGTGTAAAGACGTTGAAGTGTGCTTTCTACTGGTATTTTGTTATTTTATTTTATTTTTTTGGGGTCTCAGTTCTGTTTTGGGGCATTTGCTTTTTTCTTGTATAAACCACAATCTTGTAACTTGATACTAATAATTAATATTATTTTAATTTTGCAAAAGACTGGTTACATTAGGATCACATGGCTTTTTGACCACATGATGTGCTAAATGAAAAATGAGCAATATAGTGTTGAGGGGTGATCAGAAATTCATTGCCATCGTAATTCTGCAGTTATTCGGGGACTCACAGGGAGAGGGTGTCCTTTTTCTCCTTGTGCCTTTGGAGAAACTACCTCTGCGCAGTTACCTGGTTTGTCATTGCATCGGTGTTGGTCGGAGCTGGAGAGGAAAAACTGATAAAACTCACTCAGTTGTGATACTCCTTAGAGCTTCTGTGAAAGCTTCTTCAGAGTCCTATTAAAAAGTCTTACTCAAATCAACAGACCAGCTTCCTTTTCTCATTTCAGCAGTTCCTTCTAGTGTGATACCATGACCACAGAGTGGTAGTAATTAAATGCAGTTCATTTAACCCTAAGTTGGCCCTCAGAAAAACTGTTGTCCTTTGGGTAAAAGCACTTCCGGGTAAAAACTGCATTCTTCAGTGCTTGCCTCTTTTTCTGACTTCTGAATATGTGATCCTTTCTTCCTTTCCTCTCTTTCTGGTGTGCAAGTGGCGTGGGCTTTGTGATAGAGGTTGCAGGGGTGGGGATAAGCAGTTGCAACATTGGTAGCAGTGACCAAAGTTAGAAACATTCTTAAAACCCTGTGATCTGTACAGACCTGGATTATTCATCTAGGCATTATGCAGACCTTTGCTGGATACACACAGATGGGGCCCTTGGGGAGATCTTAGTGACAAAAGCGACTTTCCCACCATGAGCAGGGAGAAGCCATGTGGATGTTCAGAAAGAGACTTTACCTGTTGGCACGTGGGGGTGCTGTGGCCTCTCTCTGCAGCCTTTCTAGGAGAGCAGAGCTGGTGGAGTGGGAAAACGGGCTGGCGAGGGTTAGGTGCCAGCCATGGGTCCCAGTGTGTGTGAATTTCTCATGCCCTTGCTGTCATGTTCCGACTTTCCCCTTGACTGTTTTAAGATTGCAATGACTTTCTTTGGGATGGGATTGTGGGAAGAAACAAGTTGGCAAGACTTTCATGTCACAGACGGAGTATTTTGGCATGTTCCTTGTGACTTTATTACCCTTTTGACTCCAATCAGTAATGGTTGTTTTTCATTCTGGTGACAGAGATGTGAGGCCATAAATTGGCAAAATGAATAAAGTTGTTTCATGAAAATGGAAACAGGCTGGGCTATTGAAAGTTTGCTTTTGTTTAATATTTTCACGACAACTAAAATTTGCATAAGTGTTCCAAATGGATTTCCAGAGAAACCAGACTTCCTTCAGAATTTACCACCATTGTCTGCTAGATTAATTTTTTCCGAACATTCATCCCACTTGAAGTTGCTGTTGAAACAGTTTTAATTCCTTGTGCTTATCGGTTTGATTCCCACAACTACTTGAGCTACATTCCTAATGACTTTCTCATACTTAGGGCAGCTTTCCCTGAGAATGGCCTGACGTGCTGAACTCTTGCTTCTAACTGACAAAACGCTCAACAGGTTCTGTGTATCATTAAACTATATAGCTGGTAATAAAATCCAGAAATGCTAATTGCTGTTGCGTCTTTCCCACCACCACAAAACCTGTTGCAGTATTCAGTGCTTTTTAAGAATACCCAAGAAAGCATAGCATTGCTAATAAGCATTCTGTTCAGGGTAACCAGGCGTCCTGAAATGTCAGGTCGAAATCACAGCCGGGTCAGCGGAGCCGTCATCTTTTCCCACCCACTTGACTTTCTGGAATAAACATGCTTATAAGATTTGATCCATTTACCCCTGGAAGTGTTGGTATGATGCAGCTTCCCTCTGAAAAGGAGAGAAGTGCACTGACCAGTTGCTGTTTGAAAGGGAATAAGTATTGCTGCGTATTTTAAAATTTATTATCTTTTAAATATACAGGGAAGTACTAAGAATAATACAGCAAACACCCAGCCTCCCACCGTCTGACAAAGAAGTAAAACTTGACAAACACGCTTTAAGTTCAAGCCTTCTGTGTGCCTGTCCCTGATTGCCTGTCCACCCCCACCCATACCCACTGTGATGAGTTTTGTTATGTATTGTTTGCATACAGTTCCTCATCCTTTCTCTGGATGTAGATGAAATGGTACTGTTTTGCATGTTTACAAATTCTATGTAAACGATATCTTGTATGTTTTCTTCTGCGACTTGCTTTTTTCTTTTGGCATTATGTCTGTGAGATTCATCGGGCTTGGCAAGTCTTTTTTTTTTTTTATAAAAGGCCAGGTTGTAATTATTTTAAGCTTTGTGAGCCATTATATGATCTCTGTCGCCTATTCTTGGGTTTTTAGTTTAGTTTTCTTTGTTTATTTTAGCGACGTTTAAAATATGAAAACCATTCTTAACCTCATAGGATGTGTGAAAACAAGCTGCAGGTTGGATTTGACCCATGGGCCGTGATTTGCCCACCCGATTCTAAACCACCGACTTCCAGTGCCAAATAGTATTCTATGAGTATACCGTAAATTATTTTTCCCTCTTTCTGTTGATAGAGACTTAGATTGTTTACAGTTTTTAAAACATTGAAATTTTCATTATTTTTTGCTATTCAAATTTTATTTTTTCTAAGGCATTTACTTAGCACAATCGATGGGTTGCCAGAGACGCTGCACACATGTTTATATAGAATCACGTGCCACATTTCCCACCCAGCCGCTACAAAACCTATTGCATTATGCAGTGCTTTTAAAAATAGCCAAGATGGCTTAGTGTTGCTAAGCATTCGGCTCAGAGTAGCTGGGTTTCCTGAAATGTCAGGTTGAAATCATAGCCTAATAAACACTCCTCCTCCTCTCTTTTAAGAACAAGCGCCAGTTCAGTTTCTTATCTGGTCTCCCCATCCTTGCAGCTCCTGTAGTTAGTCTCTGCCATCCGTTCATTTAGCAGTTGATGGTGATGTGCCCCGGGCTCCGACCAGGTAAACGAGGAGGCGGGCCAGGTGTGGGGGGTGGGCTGTGGGGAAAGGACAGGCCAGAGCTACCTGTCCAGGGTGGTAGCTGCCAGCTTCTGGGAATCTGAGCTCCACAGTGATAGATTCTCCTGGTTTTGTTTTTGTTTACTTTTAATTGTAAAATACACGTAATAAAAAATTTACCATCTTGGGGCGCCTGAGTGGCTCAGTCGGTTAAACGTCTGCCTTCGGCTCAGGTCATGATCCCGGGCTCCCTGCTCAGCGGGAAGCCTGCTTCTCCCTCTCCCAGTCCCCCTGCTTGTGTTCCCTCTCTCGCTGTGTCTCTCTCTGTCAAATAAATA